CACAGAGTACTTTATATATACATAAACTGCTAGCTTCCAAAGCGATAATACGTAAGTACAAAATGGATTAGAGTAATGCGCGGGTCTTGTATTTTCTAGAACTATATGTATGAAACCGAAGAACTCATTTGAAACCCAAAACATCCAAACCACAAAATTAAACACAAAGTTAACGATGCATGGAACCGTATTAATATTATAAAATTACCAATCAATGAGTTGAAAGCGAAGAAGTTAATGGCAAATTTTCGTGCGTATCTTCGTAAGAAAAAACAATCTATAATTTCGGGTATGGGGGTGGAAGATATATATGAACCTATATGGTTCGTATATATACCGCCATGGAAAATTTCTTGGGATCAGTGTATGGCTGCGAACGCACAATAGACACTGAAGATAATGTAAGTATTTGTATACCATTGTATATACGTAGGTGTCGCGTGCAATGAAATGTAAACGTTTGTTAATTTTCGAATATATGTAATATACAATCGAATATATGTAATAACAAGTACCTACTTTGTGTTGTGTTCAAAAATATGTAGTAAGTAATCATGACTGTCATGGATTTTTTTTAACATTTACTTTATTTCAGAAAAAGTAAACAACAAGTAATAAAAATACACTCTGTGTTTTATAATATTTATCCTTAGATAATAAAATAACGCATATTTCTATGCGTGTCCTACCCCGCACACGCTAAGTGAGGCAAATTGAAGCGCTCCCAAATGGCCTACACGAGCGGGCGGGCCTTCAGTGCTCAAGGTCACTTGCACCGCGAACAAATCCAGAATTTTAGCTAAAAATGACGAAATGTGCGGTAAATGAGTGTATAAATACGTCAGACAAACATAAATAGATACTAACATCACATTCCACAAGGAAGTAACGCGTTTCAACTTGTATTTTTATATAAATATTCACTAAAACCGAAAATTAACCTACTACTAAAATTAGCCTACATGAATTTGATTTTTGCCTCACTTGTGACAGTTCGTTTGATATGAAACTATCATTCTATGCGTTATTATTCTAAGTATTTATCCATATAATTTTCGTAAAAATTATTACAAAGCATTTGCTTTTTTTTAAAATAATGTTTATGATTTTATCATTATTATGTAACCACTTTTAAAACTACGGAATTTATTAGATTTTAGTCATTATATTTTACTATTGAAATTGACACCAAATATAATTACCACGGGTTTATATATTTCATAAACTGGATCGCGCACTTCGATATACCAATATTACAAACTTACACCTTATTGGGTTATGTTAAGGTTTATTTTAAACAAAAGTAAAAACCGAGTTACGTGAGATAGCTCGAAGTAGTGGTCTGTCCTTGTGTAACAAGTTGCCAAGGCTAAATAAAATCATGATCGGTAGTGTCTAGTGTATTAACTTTTTTAAATTTTGGTTAAATAAAATTATAATTATTAATACAAAGATCGAACACTCAGAAAAAACACTCAGAAAAAATTTCCTTCGATCCGATCGGATTCGAACCGACGTCATTTTGCATACCGTGTTAGACGCTATACCAACTAAGCCACGGAACGAATCAACGGACCTCACGATTTTTTCTATGTGCTTGCGTCGTGTCTTTGTACTTGGTCTTTTAACGACTTTTTAGTCGTAGCGCCATCTATGAGAAATCTATTGCAGATTTATCACCCAGTTAGTACCTTTACAGCTACCAGTCCTGGCGAGAGATGTCGCTATTCACTGTATTAATTAAATTAGCTTAAAGGTAATATGCTTTTACTGTAATAATACAAAAAATATATATCAACAATGAAACCTTCTATTATGAAGTAGCATTTCAAATAAGTATACTAATTTGAATTATGATATAATATTAGTAGTGTTGGTAATGCATAAGAAGCATAATACATTTTCTGTAAAAATTAAAAAGTTAAAAACAATGTGGCTGGCTGAAACATGAATGAAAGAGACGCATTACTATTTTGAAGTCTCTCACTTGTCTCGTTTTATTAACTTAGTGCGCGGTCCAGTTTAATATGCAAGGCCGTGATAATTACCCTGTTTGAGTGTTGTCCGAGAATTTACAATAACCTTTTGTTGCATACATTTTAAAGAAAATGCATTGTATAAATATTTACGAAAATAATAAAATAATAAAAATAATACATGCCATGAAAAAAAAGCACACCTTTAAAAAAACTCGTGTTCTTTGACTCGTGCTCGAAACACCGCTCACGAGGCGATCGCACGAGTGGCGATGCGATGCACGACGCGAATAGCGAAGTGACCGTTTACACATGCGTGACGTGCATCGCATCGCCTATCGCACGAATGCGTGAACGCGTTTCAACCACTCGACACGAATGTTTCGTCGATTGTTTCGACGAAACATTATAGTGTAAACGCGGTGTTAGACTATGGAAACTAAAGGACATGTTACGTTGATATATATAAATCAGACGTTATATGTATATGAAGCATTTCGACGTCGAAAACATAAACATGCTATTGTCTTCGTTTAACTATTACGTGCCGTCTTAAGCCGAAAGAGATAGCATTACAGTGGTCTGTGTCAAACACGGGAATCGAAAATACGTAACGTCATCTTAAATGCCAACCGTGTCCATTTCGCAGTACATGAGGTACATGATACCGTTGTCAAAGGGAAGTACATCAAATGTCAAAACAAATGTTTTCCAAATGTACTATTGAATTATTCGCATGAATTATAATTAAATTGGACAAAAATATTGACAGTGAGAATAATTAGGTATTAATAAAAATGCGACGCTGCAGCATTAAGGGATGTGGCTTTAGAAAAAGTGCAAATCAATCGAATGTTACATACATTGCACAGGCATGTGTTTTTTTTGTGTATAAATCACACAATAGCCCAAATATTTCATGTAATTAGACTTATTTACGTAGTTTATTTATAAATGTTGCCAAATTTTGCTTTTGTTACTTTAGATTGCCTGTTTGTTTGTATATTTTGATGATTGTTGTTAACGATTATTTTGAGATAGTGTTGATCTTGTAAGCATACATATTATCGATATTCTGTTATTAAAACAATTCACTACGTGGTTTTATTGTTTTATTATTATTATTTTTATTATTTCAAGTTTTCCTAAAAGGAAAAAAGGAAGAAAGAATGGTTGGAAATCATAGGACTGCCGGATATAAACGTTGGATCAGAAAACCATCTTAATTTTGAATAGTCAAATATTTCGGACGGATTTTTCAAAATTCATCCCCTAAGAGGGCGAAAACGGATAAAAACGTTTGCATGAAAAATAATATTCCTTGAAATTACAAAGACGAAACTTTGCATAAATATTTTACAATAAAAATGGTAAAAAAAATGGCATGACAGTTTTTAAAAAATGCGGCGAAATGGGGTAATAAAGTTTGTTTTATACTTGAATATTTTTTTTTATTATATTGAATAGCGATTTGCTTTATACTTGAATATTTTTCATTTGTATAAAAATTGTACGGGGACGAAGTCGTGGGGAAAAGCTAGTACATGATAATTGTTGATTTCCGATAATTGGTTTTTACAACTACTTCCATTATTTCTGTGTTAAAATTGATTGATAGATTCATTTGCTTAAGAAAGCCTGGGAATTAACGGGAATACTAGAATCCGCAGAAACCTGAATAACCTTGTATTTGACAGTTAGTAAAAGACGTTGCGTAAATATGTACTAAAATGTAGGTTAAAGGCGTACCTCTTAAAGTA